CGCGTATGATTTTAATTTATTATGCGCCCGATCACTGACTCTACAACTACTTCCAAAGACTGCTTTGCACACAGTCAATGCATGTATAAAAATCTTCATCGATGCACTGATTCTAATACGCGAACAGTCTGTGTGACTGTTTAAAGATAAAAATACGACTTTAATCGAACAAACTATAATGCAATTACTGCATTGGTCGCAGTTAATTTAATATATAAATTTCAAAAATAGTTCGCGAACGCGACGGAATTGAAATTAACGAACGAACGTGCTTCTAATCYGTGATTTTAATTTTATTTAAACGATCAAACACTCTCGTATATTGCATCGCGCACGATTGCAATGCACGAACACTTGCAACACTTTACAAACACTTCYAGCGCTGYAATATTCCCATGATGATTTGAAACAGAAATAAAAACAAAATTATGAATATCATTGTTGTAAGAAAAAATTATTATAATTATTAAGAAAGTGTTTAAAATAAAAATTGACTTACGTTTATTCTTCAGTGATGAATGCAAGATGAGTAGCCTACTCTTAGGATGACGATGAGCACACGTTTAAACAGAATAAAAAAAAATTACGGAGTTTCTTAACCCGAGCAAACGAAACTTTAACATACGGCGAACAACACTGATTCTACTTTCCGACTTTTTTATATTTTATTTAAACGATGCAACACACGAGTACTTCATTGCCTACACGCTCGAATGCAATGATGTTCTGAAACAGAAAAAGAAAAAGAACAATTTATATCATCGCTATAATAAAAATCCATTAAAGTGATCATAGAAACATTTAATAGAAAAATATACTTACTTTTAGTCTTCATTGATGACTGCAGGATGGGTGTCCTACCCTTAGGATGACGATGAATAAAATAGAATAAAATAAAAAAATCTGTAAAGCTGAAACATACTAAAGATTATATTATAGTACAATATTCCCTTTTACTCATTCCTGAAGGCATATCACACACTTTAAAAAATATTCTATCATAAAGAATCAATATAAATTCAAGCAATATTACTTGTTTTAATCTCACTACTTGTATAAAATTACATACAAAGTATGTAATGTTTGTAAAAATATTAATTGAAAATTTTTATGGTAAGAATATATAACTCAATAACGAGTAACCTAAAAAATAAAATCGTTTTATACTATTCTTTCTAATGCAAAACTTATTAAAGTATTTAACGTTAGATAACGTTAGAAATAAAATCAATAAATAGTTTAATACGTCACGTTCACTGGATCTTAACTCGTTGAAGGACGGAAGGGGAGTGGAGATCTCTCTGTGTATATCTCCTAGAAGTATCGAATGCTCGGTGCTCGGTGCTCGGCTGTTTTCGTTTTGTTTCGGTTGTCTTTCTTCACCGCGAGAAATTCCTGGAAATATAGACACCAATTCATAATTGGCTATAGGCCGAATGTTTTGTTTTCTTTTTCTCTCTCTCTCTCCTTCTCCCACTCTCGTTCTTACTCTTTCTATATAGGTTAAAAAAAGAATAACGCTTACCTCGATGAAAATGAAGATAAAAAAGAGTAAACACAATTGTTTGACTGAGGATATGTATTTCTGCTGGACTCTTCCAATGCATGGAAACATAGAAAAGTAAAAAAAAATAATACTACATTAGTCCAATATAAAGAAAACCAAATGCATAAGAGTGTATGTGTATGAGATACCTATACTTATGTATATATGCCTGTATGTGTGTGTATGTGATAAAAATCAAATTTAACACGAAATACGATCCTTGAATATATAATTATGAAAAATAATTAATTAGAGAATAATTAGAGATAGCAGTAAGTATCGATACTATGAAAAAAAACTTTGGAAATTAGAAAATAATATTCTTAAGTAACATTGGTTAGGTTTGGCGCGAAACTGAGATACATCGATGATTATATCTTTCGTATTTTTTAATATTTCGTTTTGAAAACACTCACGTATGAAAATCTTGTGTGTAGCTATCGTTTGATATATAATAGGAAGGTGTAAAATATTTTTCAATTACCTTGATTAAAAAAGATGATGCAATACACTGGAACATATACAGCTGACACATTTCAATATGGCGTTTCCTCTGCCTTTCCCCTGCATTACCCGTGCCTATCCCCTGCGATGCAACTGCGTTGCCTCTRCGTTGCCGCTGCTGCGCATCTTGCGCAATATACTATGCGCGATAGTCCACCCGCAAAGACTCATAGCTCTGATGACCTTGATAATTTTGCATTTTTTCCATCTATTATAGAAAAATATCGAATAGTTAAAAATAGTATATAGGAATATAACAATTGTCGAAATATATACTTTATTAACCCAGACAATAAAAATTGATCATTATAAGTCGATATCTATAGAAATTATATCGTAAAATAAAAAATAAAAATGCCTAGAAAAATGCATATCAATGTACATGGAATTTTTTTCTACGCAAATATTTTTTATCCTCGATATTATCGTAATCTTCGATTATATTATTTGGAAGTTATTTGTTAAAAGAATCGATTAGTATATAAAACAATTATTTACGTTAGAAAATATTTTGTAATTACCTGAAAGTAACGGGACGTTGAAGTATCCGTGCGTTCTCCTCCACCGGTGTCGCGAAAAGAAAGAAGTAAAGGGCGCTGATTGGCTGATCGCGATTAATTTTGATATATCGATACTTCGATATTGTAAATAAATGAACAAGAAAACAAACTCATTCGCGACGGATAGATTCTAGCAGTTAAGTTGCGGCTCAAAGCCCAGTTCTTTTATTAGAACAGCCAACTTAATGAAAGGAGTCGTCCGAGGTTTTGAAATATATTAAAAGATATTCAAAGTTATTATTTATTAAATTAATTGTAGAGTCCTTAGACGCTTAGATGAATTTTTATAAAAATGTATTTATGTGTTATGTATATATATGTTTTTAATCATATTTTTTAGATCAGGATTTTCAGCTTCTAATATACTAATCTCCCG